TGATCATTTTTTAATTTTTCTGCGAATCTGAAGCATGGTGTGAAAGGTGCACTAGACAGTAACTTTTTCTTTTAATAAACTGAATGTTCCCACAAATTCACAAAAAAGCTTAAAGGGCCACTCCAGCCCAAAATTTTTATTTCAGAACACGATGTAATCAGACCTCCTGAAAACGAATCTCTCATTATTTTTTTCATATCTCTAACCGTTTTGTAGTTATTAGCGTTTGTAAAATGGTCATTGAGTTGAATTGTTTTTCAACCGTGTTATCGGAGATCTTCGGATTGACGTCACAGGCATTTTCGGCCTCGGTAAGTTCGCGGCAAGTATCATCGGCTGTCCAAAGGGTCAACGATAACGTTGCGAAATGGCAGACAGGGCCTAGCAGCGGCATGTTTGTTAGAAGGCCAGACTTTTATCTGGAATCGATATAAAGAGAGAAGTATCGCTCATCAGTCTTGATATTCTGATCGAATATGGAAGTTTTTTGTCGCACGAATCTTTCTGACAGAGAAGTCGAATTGGCAAAGTAGGCCAGCGAGACAGAGACATGAGGATGTTGACAGACTTTCATGGAATGTTGCTTTTGAAGCAATTTGTATTGGCAGGCCAGTTCCCTGATTTTAAAAAGAAGATTCGCGCTTTTTCATCAGCCCCTCCTTTAGTGCAACAGCTAAAAAACCATCGCGCAAGTAATTCGGGAGGAAAGAAGAAAACAAAACCAGTATACCGGGAATGAAAGCTGTATGAATTGATACAACATATTCATTAGGATAAAGAGCTTCATATCAACATGACTTATTGGAAATAAAACAGGACAAATGAGAACATGGACAAGAAAGTATACAACTTTCAAGACAAGACTAAAAACCTACCATTAGTCATGAGTCAAACAACTTTTTCAAAAATTATAAATTTGTTTTTATACAAACAAAAAAGGGATTTGAGATTATACTAATAATTCAACTTTTTCAATATACTTTTGTAAATAAAATTTTTGTATTTAACCTTTAAGCTATTACAGGGGCCTTGTCGGCTCCTTTAAGCTGTCAGAATCTCAACCTGCTATATTCATGAATAATAAATACATGTTTGATGTATTTAAATACTTGGCTACATTGAATTATACAATCAGGCCAGTGAACTAGCTAGCAATTTGTAATTTCTATTGCACATGAGAAATGTTCTTATAAAAGTATCATGAAACAATAATCTATTGCAAAACTTCTAGAAAATACCTATATGTTGTTACTAGCTTTAAATAATTTGCAAACATTATATATGACCAAATTATATATAAAATTTTAATAATTTTAGAAAAATAGTCTCCTTTGTAAAAATGTTAATACAAAAACAGAATAATGTGTTGAGGTCTTTGTAGTAACTCTTGAATGGAAGAGAGGGGCAAGTTATCACTCCCACAAAGCCAGTAGCCAGATAACAGGAGATGCATGTAATCTCCAACCTTCATCTAGCATTTTTTTGCAAGATCCTTTCTGCTGATCCATAGAAGAGTTTGTAACCTTTTTTATGCCTAGAATAATAAGGTTGACAGAGATAAATACTAACATACCAGTGAAATTTACTTTTGAGTCATATTAAAACATAAAATGATCAAAGAAACTTGGACACTCAGGGGCATTCATATACAGGAGTATAGATATTTAGAAGGATCAAAGAGAAATTTAGGGGTGAAAGGGCAACCAC